TCCGACATCCGGACCTCCTCCTTGTAGTCCCACACGGTCCAGACAACCCCTTCGATTGTTGCGGTGGCTTTGCCCGGGCACCCGGACTCCCAGACCACCGCTGACACCTGAATGCCCCCGGACGAACCAGCTCGGGCGCCGCACTGTGCCTCCAGGATGTCGGTAGCCTCAGCCGCCATTTCACCGATGCCATACGTGGCCATCTCGCCGAGGATGTCTTCCAAGGAAGCATGAGGGGCCACAGCGACACGAGTGGCCGCCCATGCAAACAGATCGTCGGAGGCGTTGTGGAGCTTGCCCAGAACAGGGCCATTGGCGAGGCTCTCGGCCTGCGCCACGAGGTCCTTCGCTTCTTGCGGTGCGGACTCACCCTTCGCAGCCTCGGTGGCCTGCTGTGGTCCGCGATCCCCTTGGAGCCAGGCATCATCAGGTCCCTTTATAAAGCCTCGCGCAGGTCCTCCTCCGCAATCGTGTAGTCCACCGCGCCGAACTCCTCCGGGATCTCCTCGAACTGCACCACCTTCTCGCCGCCAGCTCGTGTCTCGCCGGGTGGCTCCTCCTCCCCGTGGCCCGACTTCCGGTCGGTAATCTTGGACGCCTTATCCTTCGCGACGGCGGCCCGGATGACCTTGATCTTCTCCGCCACCGACTCCTTTGTCTCGGGCTTCATCCTCCGAAGGCCCCCTCGACGAAGCAACTGGATCTGCACGCAGGGGTCGAGCGCCTCGAACTTGCCCTGAAGGTCAGAGTGAGAGCGGCCACATGCTAAGTTGCTGCAGCCCATGTGTGTCAACGCGCCCCAGCACAGCAAGAGACCCTCCCGATCGACGGGGGCCCTCTCCTTCGCCTTGTTCACCTCCTCAGTGGTCAACTTGGGGCCCCACAAGTTCTTGACGGTCGGCTTTGGTGCCACCTCAGCTTTCTGGTCCCCGCCCGCATGGGCAGAGGGCTTCGCGCTCCGAGTGCCTTCCCAGGTCAGACGCCATAACATACGCTCCTGCTTTCTCTCAATGCGCGGCAGGACTTCCGTCATGAACCAGCCGTCCGGGAACCTCAGGTCAAAGGTGCGGGGCAGCTCCAACCATGCAGTGCCCGTCGCGTTGGGCATGAGCGCGAAGAACTTGATATCGGACAAGGACATCGTCTCCCTGCCCGCCTCCTTCTTTAAGAGCCTCAAGGATTCTTTCAGCTCCTCGAAGAAGCGCCAATGAAGCTCCTCCCAGACGTCCATGAGCACCGTAAGCGGCCACTTGTGTGGCTCGGCTTGGTGCCATTCCAACAAGCGCTCCAGAGCATGGGTGCGCACCGGCTTCCACTCACTGCCGTAAACAAGGGCCCACACGTCATTCTGGCGCCGGACGCGCCCGTCTTGTTGGCCTACTTAGAAGTC